ATTTACATGCCGTACACGAGAACGAGCAGGTCATTGTGTACTTAAATAATACTGAAGGCTCCTTAATTATAGCAATTGATCACGTCACACCCTGCCATTGTATTGCTATAAACAGTCAATGTCACTTCACAAATAGACGGTCTAACAGAGGGGATTGGAGGCTGGAGAACCCGATCTTGTCTGGAACTGTTTCTAACTATTTTTTGGAGCCCTGCGGGGCCTCAAAGTTTCATTGCCATGGACAAAAGACCGAATTTCTTAGGTTATCACAGGTCACATGCGGCTAATTGCTATGCGTCCGACCAATTGCTAAGGTCACGCCATCACACCCCATTGCTATAATTAAGGAGCCTTCAGTAATTAGGACTCGGGCAAACTTCCCTATGAGTAATGTCCGGATTTTAGCATATTTGAGGCCAAACCAGATCCTTGGCAGATTCTGTCGTAGAACCACGCCCCTACGCTTCGTTCGGGAGAGGAAAGCACATTAAAAACAAGTCTGCACAAGTGCGCCAAGAGGCGAAGATTTGAAGGAGTCAGAACACCCCGGAGCGTGCCCCTGTTGCCTGCAATGGAAACGTCGATGCCTTCTGGTTAGCGCCCTAAAAACGGCGGCAGAAAAATGAAAACTTGCGTGAACTTGCTCGGCTTGGCAGGCTCGGACAAAACAACTAGCGCACCACGAGGGTCGAACTCGTAGCCTTCAGATCACCCGCTAGTAAGAGCCTGACGCTCTATCCGATTGAGCTAGACGGACGATTCGTGATATGTCGTCAGTACAGTGCTGTGGGGCAAGGAAAATGGAAGAAGCGGCAACCAGAGAGATTGGCTTGACAAAAAAAACTTACTGGCCTAATAGAATATCATTTTCTTACAAATTCTATGATAGCTTACTACAGCAATGGAAGCCAGCGAGATTAATGGCCGGCAAAAAACTTCAGGGTGCGGCATGCCGAATTTCAGAAGCGCGCACTTGCCTAATTTGAGAACCGCGGCGGTCGGCAGTGTCCTTCGGAGGCGGGTGAAAGGTACTTACATACCTGTGTACGCCGTTCCGCACAGTCTGGCAAAACAACTAGCCCACCGCGAGGGTCGAACTCGCAGCCTTCAGATCACCCCGCCTGTCGAACACAACGTCGAATGGACAGTAAGAGTCTGACGCTCTATCCGATTGAGCTAGGCGGGCGCGTCTGAGTAGCTTCCGCCACCGCCTACGGCGCGCCGCCGGCCCGACGGGATTGCGCCATATTGGAAGCGGTGAAGTCGAGGCCCACTGGACTCCTCTGGAGGGGTCGATAGGTCGGTGCATCCACGTCGAAGTTGCCACTGCTCGCTTCAGCAAAGGAAGACAAAACATGTGCCGAGCGTTTGAGCGGCGAGAAGTGTCGAAGGTTGATAAGGGAGGTGGGATTCAACGCGCGACAAGTAGATTTTAGTAGCCAGTGGCGACGAACTTTGTATCTTTTGCATTTATAAAGAACATGCTTGCTTCTCGAACCAGGCTGCATTCAAGAAGTGAACGAAAAGGTGAAGCGTTAGCCAAACAAACTCTTGCTGAGGTCATGTGCAGACCCTCGCGCTCGAGATCAGAGATAAAGCCTGGGAACGAAGCCTTATCAAGCGGTGCGCTGAAACTCCGAGAAGGGCATTCATTAGCACCATCGGTGGTAACTACTCGCCTACAATGTGCCGTGGTCGCCGATACTGTGTTGAAGGTTCCCTGACGAGGAAGACGTCTCTGCCACTCTTTGCGCCGAGAAGCTGATTCGCAACTATACGGCAGTTTACAAGCTGAAATCCTGTGCGTCGCACGAAACGTGCCTGCGTTCCATTTCGGAAATAACCATATCCACGGCCACGAGTTGAGAGAAGCGCCAACATGAACGCCGAGATCGTTGCCACCGTCAGATTTCGAGCTTGGCTGTGATAGCAAGTCGGCGCCGAGTTGCCAAAAGGACCGCGGTGAGGCCATGCCACACGTGAACTCAGTGTCAAAGGGGCCGCCCCGGCTTGCCTGAATTTCACAGCACGGGATGTTGGCTACTCTCGCATGTGAGCGAAAAGCAGGAATAGGCAGTAGTGACGAAGGGTGGACGGAGCCTTTTGAGTCAAGATGAAATTGAGGAGCTGACCCACGAGATCGAAGGAGGTATGTACCTAGGAGAATTTACACGGGGGAAGTTGGTGGGAGGATGTACCTGATGATGACATCGTGCTCGGTGCCGTGCATAGCCTTTGACATTGCCTCCCAAAGCATGGTGCAGTGGTAAAGATGCAGTTTGCGAGGAGCGACGGGGTTGTTCGACGAGGAGGCACATGAGCTGCCTAGCTGGCATTCGCCGTGCCCAGGGATCGTCTGGGGTGGATATGCTTGGCTACGTCAATGATCGACTGCAGCGTTGGAACAAGATCGGAGGGCAGCTTGCCCCGAGATGTCCTCGCGAGAGATTATGACACTGGAGGGGAACCACTGACATAGCGTGCCCCAAGACACGTCCTCAACCTCGTCGGACCGGGTTTCTGCGATGCCCATGCAAGACAAGCTGCTCCGCCCCCGCGGGACCCCGACAGCTGCGTCCGCGCCGACTCGCACTGCAGAGCGCGTTGTGTGCGCAGCCTGGGTGCCGTGTGCATGCTGATGTGAAGCTGTGTGTGATTGTTGCGGCGCAGGAGGAGCACGGCCGGCTGCACCAACGGCGGCCAGTGGGCGCTAGAGGGGTGGCTGGGGGCAGCAGTGCTCGGTGAACGTCATCGAGATCCGCCTGCGGAAGGTGCTCAATAGCTGGACCTCGCTTCGCCCGTACTCCTGTTTATACTCCCCTTCACGCCACGTTCATTTCTACGCCTTGCATTCTACCTCTTCTCCCCGTTGTCCGCCATGGCGACCGTCAACGGGAACGCGCCCCACCCCGACCCACACGCTCAGCTCAACGGCGTCCTCGAAGGTGACGCCGCAAAGAACCGGGTGGCCGTCCACACATTTGACCCCGACGCATCCCCCGAGCAAAAGGCCGCTGCTGCAGGCAAGGGCAAAGAAAAACTCAAGAGAGCCAAGGACGATGCTGGCCCCAGCGGGAGAGGTGCGCACCCCGTCACGTACGGCGGCCGAATCGCGTCTTACGCATCGTTCGTCCCAGAGGTCGCTGTCGACACTGGCAACAGTAATGTCATACCTACAATCACCGTACATGATGTGGACAAGGCCGCAGACAGCACGAGTCCCGTATCTCCTGCAGCTCCGTCGCCTGCGTCATCCGGGGAGGCCAGCGTGCCTGGTGCAATACCGGCTGGCCCTGCGCCCGCCATCCCAGACTGGTACAAGGTTGGCTGGCAAGCGGTCGCGGAAGCAGGCACACCCATCATCTCGGAAGGCGAAGAGAAGGAAATGTCCACTCTGGCCCAGTTCGTGAATGAGCAGTACTATGGTGACTGGTATCATAATGCGGCCCTCATCGTAGCAGTGAGTATACTCACCTGCTGCAATGCCCCCTGTTGCTCATCTCGCGCAGGCTGTCGTAATTGCACACTTCTTTACACGTTTCAACTTCGGCTGGGGCTGGCTCTTCCTTCTGCTGGCCTTCTGCAACACATATTACACGACCTCCTTGCGGCGCTTCCGGCAACGCGCGCGCGACGACATCCAGCGTGAACTCGTCAAGACGGGTTTGGAAACCGAGTCCGAGTCTGCGGACTGGATGAACAACTTCTTGGACCGATTCTGGCTCATTTACGAACCTGTGCTCTCCCAGACGATCATCGCGTCTGTAGACCAGGTCCTTTCTACGAATTGCCCTACGTTTTTGGACTCGCTTCGCCTCACGACATTCACGCTTGGCACGAAGGCGCCGCACATCGACCGCGTGAAGACATCTCCGCGTACTGCGGATGACATCGTCTTGATGGATTGGAGCATCTCGTTCACGCCGAACGACACCTCTGATATGACTGAGCGTCAGAAGAAGGACAAAGTTAACCCCAAGATCGTGTTGTCTGTGCGTGTAGGCAAAGGCGTTGCGAGCGCGACGATGCCTATCCTGCTCGAGGACATTACCTTCTCGGGGCACATGCGTATACGTCTGAAGCTCATGACTACGTTCCCGCACATCCAACTCGTGGACATCTCCTTCCTCGAGAAGCCGGTGATTGACTACGTCTTGAAGCCTATCGGTGGCGAAACTTTTGGATTTGATATCGGATATGTGAGCAGCCAGAAATGACCTACATTTCCCTCGCTGATCGGCCTATTCAGATCCCTGGTCTGTCGGCCTTCATTCGTGATATGGTGCATGCTACTTTGGGTCCCATGATGTACGACCCGAATGTCTTCACCCTCAACCTTGAGCAAATGCTGTCCGGAGAGCCGCTGGATGCTGCTATAGGTGTGTTGCAGATCACCGTGCATTCTGCTAGAAACATCAAGGGTGTCAAGATCGGAGGTGGAACCCCTGACCCGTATGTCAGTATCAGCATCAACGACCGGGAGGAGCTGGCGCGCACGAAGTACAAGCACAACACGTACGTCAATTCTTGATACTCTTTTCGCGTTATTACGGCTGAATACCCTTCTTCAGGGTGAACCCGAGCTGGTCGGAAACGAAGTTCATTCTTGTCAACACACTCACAGAGTCTTTGATTCTCTCTCTTTTCGATTACAATGATCATCGTAAGAACACGCTTCTAGGCAGCGCCTCGTTCGATATGTCCAAGTTGCGCGAGGATGCGACGCAGGAGGGCATCGAAGCTCCCATTCTGAAGGACGGAAAGGAGCGCGGCACGCTTCGCTTCGATGTGACGTACTACCCTGTCCTCAAGCCGGAGGTTGATGCTGGTGGAAAAGAGGAGCTGCCGGAGTCAAGTAAGGAGCTCACCCTCGGAAGCGATCATTCCTTCTAATACCCTTTGCAGAGGTCGGCATCGTGCGCATGACGCTCCACCAAGCGAAGGACCTGGACCACACCAAGTCGATGTCGAATGACCTCAACCCTTTTGCAAAGGTATACGTCGGCGGTTCGCCGCACGCGATCCACGCATGCCAGCGCGTCAAGCACACGAACAACCCTGTCTGGGAGTCGAGTACCGAGTTCCTCTGCTCAGACCGCAGCGCGTCCGTCATCACCGTCAAGGTCATCGACGACCGCGACTTCCTCAAGGACCCCGTCATCGGGTACATGAGCATCCGCCTCGAGGATCTCTTCCACGCGAAGCAAGAGGCTGGTCGCGACTGGTGGCCGCTCAGCGGATGCCGCAGCGGGCGCATGCGCCTCAGCGCGGAATGGAAGCCGCTCAACATGGCAGGCAGCCTCCACGGCGCAGACCAGTACGTCCCCCCGATCGGTGTTGTCCGGCTGTGGTTGCAGAAGGCGACGGACGTCAAGTAAGTGCTGGCTACTGGCGACTGACCATGATCTGAAACCTGATGTGTGCCCGCCCGCAGGAATGTGGAGGCGACGCTGGGGGGCAAGGTGCGTTGGATGGCTGCGTGGACGTGGCCTGTACTTATATATCCTGTGCAGAGCGACCCGTACGTGCGAGTGCAGATCAACAACATTACGCATGGCCGCACGGAAGTGGTCAATAACAGTCAGTGTCGCTTGTCTTCCGTGTCTCCCTGTCTTCTTATATGACCGTGCGACAGACCTGAACCCCCAATGGGACCAGATTTTGTACATCCCTGGTAAGTTTGACGAGCGTTACGAAATAACGTCCATGTATCTAATTGCCCTTTTTAGTTCACTCTCTGAAGGAGGTGCGTACCTCATCGCTGTTCTGTCGTTTACCGTTCCTCTTGTGACACCGCGCCGCAGACAATGATGCTCGAGTGTATGGACTACCAGCATCTGACCAAGGTGATTAGACCATATATGGTAATTTCCGTGCATGACACTGACGTGCAAGCAGGACCGCTCGCTCGGGTACGTGGACCTGAAGGTCTCTGACCTCGCGCAGCCCTCGGACGGCGGCGAGTTCCCGTACGCCTCCACAGGCAAAAAGGCCGCAGCGGACCCGCTGCGCCTCAGCGCGAACAATTACAAGGGCCATCTGCACTACGAGGCGGAGTTCGTGCCGGCGCTTCCGTTCAAGTTCAAGGAGTTCTCCACCCACGGAAACGAGCTCCAGCATGCGGTCGAGAACAGCGGCGAGGACGACGGAGATACGGTCTACGACGACGCGTCCTCGGTATCGTCG